TGGGTTTATTGTTTTTTATTTTGTTTTGCTTTTAATGGCTTTGAATATGGGGCAGTCACGTTTATAATACCTGAATGGATCTCACAGGCATTTAAGTGTGCAGCAACAGACTTTCTTTTTGAAACATGATCTGATAAAAGATAGGAGTTATTTAATTCAAGAGACAGAGGGTTACTTGAGGTCACTTATGTGCACCCTTGCAATAAAAGGAGCTGGAATGAAACAGGAAATGAAATAAAATCTGCTCTAATGGCTTGTTTTGACTGCCTTGAGAATTTTTCTTCACAAGCTATTTACAAGTAGAAAGAGTTTAATACTCTTATCCACGCAAGAACACAGCCTGTGGAATCTGCGAAAAACTGTTAGTTGGATAAATTCTCAATCTGGGTGTCTGAGGCAGTGTGCTTTGCCATAAGCTGCCAAGGGCAATGCAAAATTTGTTTTTACTAATAACAGAGTGCCAAAGATTTGGAATGACTTTTAAATATAAGTCAGATTGTGTACCAGTACCGTTCACTTACTGCATTCTAGATTGTGTGAGTGTGTGTGTGTGTGTGTATGTGTGTCAAAGAGATGGGGAGTGAGGGAGACAGGAGGAGAGCGTGTGTGTGAGTTAAAAAGATTTAAGAAAGTTAAAAAGATTTAAGAATTTGACCTAACCCCAGAACAACCCTGGGATTGCAGCTCTCATGTGAATGTCGTTTGAGGATTGTCTCTAAATAAAGGCTAAGACTTGAGACCAGCTCTATAGGAAACAGCTTCATTACAGGGCAATTCTATCTTATTTATCATCCCCAGTATCTGACCCTTCCTAATTGACTGAGAAATATTCCAGGAGTAAATGCAAACCATCTTTTTTTTTTTTTTAAGTAGGCTCCATGCTGAGCGTGGAGCCCAATGTGGGGCCCAACGTGGGGCTTGAACTCACAACTCTGAGATCAAGACCTGAGCTGAGATCAGGAGTTGGACGCTTAACCAACTGAGCAACCCAGGCACCCCAAATGCAAACCATTTAGTGATGTCAGAATTTTCTGGAAGTCTCCTGAGACAAGGTCGAATCTCCCAAGGAAGTTGCACCATTCTCTCCCTTCAGGGTTTCCAAAGAAACTCTCTTTGTAAGACAGCATGTATGTATGAAGGAAACCCTGTGACGTGACAACCCCTCCCTGCCCTGTAATCCTGAGGTGTTTGCCCACACAAGGGGGATGACTTGAGTCTTAAGTATTTTAGTCGGAGCTCTGTAGCTGGCTCAGTCCCTCCTGGCCAAGGACAGAATGAGGTAGGCAGAGTTCCAAGATTCGCTCCCCTGCTGTACATGCATACATAATCCCCTCCTCTTGAGGGTGAGCAACACCTGTGAATATGACAGGCTAGCATCCAGGATTTGGTGACATTGCAAGACAAAGGTGAAGGGATTCTGCAGTATAATTAAGGTCCCAAGCCAGCTGATTTTGAGCTAATCCAAAAGAAAGTTATTAGGGGTGGGCCTGACTTACATGAGATACAAATTCTTAAGAGGTACTGGGTACTTCCTGAAGACAGACACTCCCCTTTGGGCCTTGAAGAAGCAACAGCTACATTGTGAGCTGCCGATGTAGATGGGCAGCCTCTAGAAGCTGAGGGTCTCAGTCTCACAGCCACGAGAAAATGAATTCCGCCAAAACCTCAGTGAGCTTGGAAGGGGACCCCGAGCTCTGGGTGAGAATGGAACCCCACTAAGGCCTTGACTGTACCCTCCTGAGACCTTGAACAAAGGGTCCAATTAAGCTGTGCCTGGACTCCAGACCCATAGATACTATGAGATAATGAATATGCATTGTTTTAAGCTGCTAAATCTGTAGTAGTTTGTTACTCGGCATTAGAAAACTAAGATACATATAATTACTAACTGAAATGGCAAACAAGAAAAAGTGGGGGATGGGCATAGTATACAAAATACAGAAAAGTCGATCCTTGAGCAGAGAGCCTCTGAAAATAATCGATCAATACTAATCACACAGCTGTGATTGTTTACAGGTTTGTCTTCCCCTAAACTAAGCTCTGAGGGGACTCTGCCATCAGTATCTCTTCTATAGACAATTTTTATAGCCTCCTCCATGGGCTGCGCTGACCCAGACTTTGTGAATACAGAAATGAAGATGTCCATATGTTCCATATGTTCATGGTCTGGTTGAGGAGTAAATACACACAGATACATGTGGTTGAGAGTATTAATGTTCCCTTGGAGGATTTAATGAGATACTCCAGGAGCACTAGAAGCCAATCTGCCTGGCAGAAGGGATTCATTGAGAATTCAGAGCATTTTTGAGTCAGAAACGGGGAATAAGAAAAGCCATGTGTATATATATATATATATATATATATATATATATATATATATAATTGCAACTGCATGTGGGTAAATTATGGGAGAAGAAGCAGCTGAAAATCAACTTGGGTCACTTCATAAAGGGCCTTTCCCATATAAAAGGCCAAGAGATTTGAATGGAATTTTTGGTGTTGATAATTGATGGAGAACAGAAAAAAAAATTCTACACAGAGGACTAATATGATTAATTTTGTGTTGTGGGAAGGTCTGTATGACAGCAGACAGCAGGCAAGATCAGAGAGAAGAGGAGCATTAAGAAAGCCAGCACAGGGTGCAGATACCATGTGCTCAGCCCTCTATCCCTACCGTGTAGCACATGGCCCATCCAGTAGGAGGGGGCCAAGAGTGTTTGTTGAATCTTAAACCAACAAATCATCAAATGAGGGCTCCGGAGGCAAAAGGCATGGAAGTAGCAATCATGGAAAGTTGAAAGTTTTCACTCCCCATGGAGCTGGGAGAAGGAATACTTCAGGCCTCCAGTGTGGGAGGGATGAAGCAGAGGATAAGGGTTGAAAGAGCAGCAAGTTCAGAATCAGGACCTCTGCTGAGCTCTAGCTGGAGACGAAAGGGGTGACCCCAAGACCTGAGAGGCTTAGCAGGTCCAGGGATTAGGAGCAGCTCAGGGATCTAACCTGAACCATCACCATTCAGGACTGGGGTCCTGCCTGACCCCTGGCATGAAAGTTCAGGCACATTCCAGCTCAGGTCACATTGGTACTCAATCCTTCCCATCAGCTTTTTAGGCAGCCTCTGTTCATCCTCTGCTAGATCACCCTCACCCCTTTCCTCCCTTTTCCCTCTCAGAGGGTGGTTCATCTCAAGACAACGTCAGAGCCAAAAAGAATCGTTTACTCATTCAACCAACTTGATCAATTGCTTCATATTTCAGATAGGTACCCTTCTTTTTGCCTTCTGCCTCAGCATTAAGATGTTCTCTTTTCTATCAAAACCTAATAACCCCTCTGTCTGTGTTGACAAACCTCCCTCTATCCATTCATTTCTTCACTTAGTTATTCATTGACAAATATGCGTTGATCATAGATACTATTCTAGGCACTCGGCTACAGCATTGAACATAAAATGCAGGATCCAGGCTCTCACAGAGCTGACCTTCTAGATGGAGAGGCAGAAAATAAGCAGTGAGCAAATAAATAAACTAGAAGATTTCAGAGTAATAAGTATTCTGAAAAAAAAATAGTGGAGTAATAAGTGCTCCAAAACTCCTCTTGGGTTTCTCATCTCAACATATTTGAGACCCACCACCCAGTGACCTAAGCCAAAAATCTGGTAAGTGTCCTGGACTTCTCCTTCTCACTCATTTTTCACTTTTAATTATCAGTCACCAACCCATGGGGATTCCAACTCTCAATGGCTCTCAAATCCATCTGCCCTTCTCCATCTCAATGACACTTAATGCAGACACCATCACTTGTTCCCCAAATTACAGTAGCCCCCCCCAACTGGTCTTTCTCAAGTCTCTCCCTCTTCCTTCATGTCATGCCCCTGCTGAAAATGGTATAGTGGTTCTTTATTGTTTTTCCAGTCAAGTTCAACCCCTTTTGCTTTGCATGCAAGGTTTTTCATTATCTGGGTCCTGCTGAACCCTTGAGTCTTGTTTCTTGTTCCCCAAAGGCACCTGCCCCACAGAGCTTCCCCTCAGACATACCTGCAGATCTTCATGCTAAGGGTTACATACTCGCATGCCTTCAGTAGGTTGTACCTGCCCCTCACATGCCCTCTGCTCATTCTTCTCTAACGCTTTGTTCAAAACTCAGATCAAGTGCCACCTCATTTAGGAACACCCTTCTTCTTATAATGACCCATAGAGTTCTTATCAGGATTACAGTGAGAAGATGTATGAAACCTTTGGCACAATGATGGCACTCAGCTTTAATTTCCCTGATGGAGTTTCTTGCATTTGGGGTAGATATAATTAAATATAAATAGTTTTCCTATTTGCAATGAAACCATCTCAGAATACAGACTCTGAGCTAGGTGACTTGTCTCCCTCATTGTTTTAATACAATGGACAGGAAATTTTCTTTCTCATTTATGTTTTCCTTACTTGATACTTGTTACTATAATTTGAGCTCCTAACCATTATTCTTAATGGCCTGGAAGTGATTTGAATGGGATCACTGATTAGGACAAATCCTCTAAATATCACCATCCTGACAATACACACAGTAATAATTCACTGCAGTCCCCAGCCCTGAGGGTTGGCTGGTGCCATTTAAAATTTCAGACTGTTTCTTGGCACATTTGTAGCCGCTCCCTACTCCCAGGGTACTGGGAGAATCCACCAAATTCCCACCCTCCCTGGAAGGATCTGGGACTACACATCTCTTCCAAACCAAGGTCTATCTGGAGATTCCCTTCCTGGGCTGACCTCTGACACTGAAGTTCTGACCTTCCATGGGGCCTTTAGGATCTCTCTGTGAAATGAAAAGCTGCTCTCTGAGAATGACTTTCCTTCAGACACCTGTTCCTGCTAAGGTTTCTCTCCCAGCACCTGCACCCAAAACCACACATCGGGTTCTTACTCTCCTACTTGGCCAGACTCCTATCTGTGCTGCATCTGTGTCTCTGATGTGAGTACCTAGAAGAGCTGTCAAAGACACAGTTCCCTTACTTGCATTCAGCAGAGTCCGGATCTTCTTCTCTTCTTCCTCCTCTTGGATGAGCTTTTCTGCCAGGGTCTTGTCCTCTGATTCCACACACATGTCAGCTTCTCGCAGGTACTCCAGGTAGTCGATCTCCCGTTGTGCACGTTCGACTCTCAGGACCAGGTTAGTCACTGCACTCTTATACTCACTTGTGTAGGTCTGGCATCTTCCCAGCATAGTGGTTATGTTTTTTGAGAACTCTTGGAAGTCTTGAATGTATGCCCTCATTGCTTGGGTACATTTTTCCAGTCCTTGCTTCAGTCAGAAGATAAACGCTCAAATTATTTCTCATTATTTAAATTAGGCAAGTAATATAAATAGCTATCACTCACTGAAGAAGATTTTTAAAGTACAAATCATCGTAAGGGGGAAAAATAAAAATCACCTGTAATCCCTTAGTTCAAAGTACCACTGATTTGTGAGTGTATCAGTTTTTAAAAGTTTTTCCATGCATGTCATCATACATATATAAATATATATTTTAAAATGTGATTTTACTATAATGTTTGGCAACAAATTTTCACTTGCTAATACACTGTGAACATATTTTAATACTAATTAGTAGATAGCTAGACGATAATTTTAATGATACAAAATTCCATTGCATTGATGTCCTATTATTTATTTTATTAGACTCTTTTTGATGGACACTTATGGACTTTTCAACAACGCGGAAAAGAATCTTTGTATGTACATCTTTGTGTACTTATCTGGTTATTATCTTAGGGTAGATTTCCAGAAGTAAGCTCCATCCCCAGCACCTGGCACAGGGCCTAGCACATAGTACTTAATAAATATTTACTGAAAGAAAGAATAAAATCAATGAAGACCAAAAATGGGGTGGCTGGGTCGAAGTGGACGTATACTTAAAGCTCGTTTGGCATTCTATCAAAATGCTCTCCATAAAAGTTGTAAAAATTGAGACTCTAGACAGCAGTAAGTAAGACTGTTCACTTTAAGGAAAAGAGAGAGCGAGAGCTAGAAAGAGAGAGAGAGAGAGAGAAACTCCCTAAATAGGTCCTCTGATTTCTTTTGCACCCCTCAGACATGAATCCGTCAGGGTGGGGACTGTATCAGTTTGTTTGTAAGTGTCCACACTGGCCATCAGTGACCACCCTTGGGACTTGACTTCCCCTCCAGATCCTGACCAGGATGGCGAGATCTATACAAACCATACCCCTATCTTTTTCAAATCCACATTCATAGCCATCAAAGTACTTGTCTGTACTTTATACCCTTGTCCACAGATCAACTTTTCAGGTCCTGAGGAAAACCTGCAGGGATCTGGCCGGCGCTAATCCCAGGGTGAGTCGGTGCTAAAGGCAGAGGGACTGCTGTTGAGGGTAATTCTGGCACACTGGGGAGGGTCTGTCTGAGGAGACGACAAGTGAGGCAGCAGCTGGCCTCAGAACATCACCTCCCCGGCCCCCAGGCCTCAGCTGGTTGGCTGGACAACGTTAGGAAATGCGCTCAGCCTGCTCGTTGGAGTGATTTTACTTAACTAGATGATCAACTAATTTGGACTTCAAAATTTTTCAAGAAAATATAGAGAATAAATATTGGAGGTAAGAGTGTCTTTGGGGGAAAAAAAAGGGCCTATGGAAGAAGATAAATAATTTATCAAAATTTAACTTGTATAGAAGCAAGGCGATTAAGTATGAAATAATTGCCAGGAGTATGTCAAGGACTAGGGTGGAGGGTTACATTTGTCCCTGGGCGCCTGGCTGTGTGGCAAAAATGTGGGGTTTTTACAAATTTTAATGAAGCATGCCTGGATAAGCGTCCCCAGGACTTTCTATCTGACGCAGCTGAAATCTACTCATTTCTAAACCCAAGCGTGGCGCCGCAAAGAAGCTAAGACGTAGCTTCTTGGTACATCATGACTTTTTACGGTGGCCTCATGTTTTATCATAAAAAGACAAAAAGAAAAGCAAAAACCTGCTACCATCCTGATGTGGTAAAACATGAATAAAAAGTGACCCGAAATTTTTAATTTTTATATTTAAAAAATTGAACTATTGAATAATAACATTTTGGACATTTACCACCATGCCAGGTAACGTCCTAAGTATGGATTAATTTATTAAATCTTCAGAGTAGCCATAGGAGGTTAATTCTATTATCATCCCATTTTACAGATCAGAAAAATTGCTAGATCAGAGCATGGAGTGAAGTCCCACTCATGGCTGGGGAGTGGTACAGCCCGGACTCTGGAGTTGGTGCTCTGAACCACTAGACTACGAAAACTCTCATGTGCGCTATTGGCAATGTATTTGGCATTGACTACGTGGGGAACATGCATCCCAGTAGATAGGGAAGCTGGGCTAAGATAAGGTGACTTCTGGGAGGCCCGCACCCCGGATCAGGTGTACAGATGCCACCTACCTCCAAGACTTGAAAGCGCTGGTAGATGTAGTGCACCATGCCCGGGTCCTGGGCGCACTGGGGTGGGGGCAGAAGAGCCACCAGGAACAGAACCAGGACAGCAGAAGCTCGCCGGAGGGCCATCATTGTCCTGCAAACCGTCCAAGGGTGGAATCTCCTCTGCTGTGCTAAGAAAACCCAAGGGTCCAGGTGGTGGTCTCCTGCTTTCCAGCCACTGCCGTGAAAATCCTCTAAAAACAGCCAGAGAGCCAAGCCTGCTTGTTATTCCACCAGATGCGTGATCTCACTTTGCAAGCCAGTGATCAAGTCCAGCTGTTGGCAAGCCCGTCCCTGGAGGCCTTGCAGGTCGACTTGGGGTAGAGGGTTCCTTGGGTCCATCTGTTACCATCACCCTTCACACACACTGATCCTCTCCAGGCTAGTGGCGGCACCCTCTTGCAGGCCTGGGTGAGCATGCATTGGGGTGGGGGTGGGGAGGACTTCCCCCCTTTTCTTGGCTCTTTGTGTTCCACTTCTGCTTTCCTCCTCCCTAGTGGACTCTGCAGTCCAATCACAGTCCTGACCCAACACAAACCACCCCCAACTTCTCCGACTTGGAATCTCAGTTTAGTTTCTGGCAAAAATTCCCAGGATCCTTTTCCCAGAAGTCCTGTTGGGAGACCCCACCCCTCCTCCAGACTCTTTGCATTCCGGCAGCTCTTAAAGGCACAGCAAGGAAAAAAATGAAAGTTTGGCTACACCCCTGTCTCTGAACAGCCAGTGCACAGGGCTGACTGCCCCTTGGGGAGGGGGTTACAAGGAGCCACAGGCCTGGTTGCCCCGGGGCTGATAGCTGAAAAATCGGAGGACGGAGCTCAGAGGAATTGTATTAAGGGGCACAACAATGGCTATGTATACAGCCATGCTTCCAGAGCCAAGCCATCAGGACATGGAACTCCTTTTGTAAGGAAGTCCTTGAGCTTTCTCAGTCTCTAGAAGCAGAATCCTCTTCCTGTAGCTACAGGCCAGCAATTCATAGGACGTAATTCCTGCAGGCCCTGGTCCAGCTGAAGATGTATCACGTCCCTAGGGCAAAGTGGTAAAAATCTTCCTTTTTTTTTTTTTTTTTTGCCTTTGCTGTCCAGGCCTTTAATGACCTCAGTCTCTCCTTCCATGGGTGGGTCCAGAATACCCATGGTTCTTTCTCAATCATCTACCAAAGTGGGGAAGGTTGAGGCATCTATGAGACATGGGAAGAACTCTGGCCAGGAGTCAGAAGATCTGGGTTGCATTTGGTCCCTGCAAGAGACACTAAAAGACAGAATTTTCCAGGGTGCATTTGCAAGTCCCTGTCTCCATTAGATAGATGATCCTCTCTACCTGTCTTCCACATGACCTTGGCCGCTAACTCTTCCTCCCCCAACCCTTGGTAAGGTCGAAAACAATGACTCCTCATCCCAAAGGTTAATTCCTCCTATATCAAATAACCATCTTTGAACCACTCCCCAAAGGAGGTGAACTTCGGCTGACCCCTCCTCTCAAATCCTCAGAAACAATACTGCCGGACTCAGCCTCCTTCCCCGAGTGAGAATGCTCTTTCAGAAACTTCTTGCGCCCGGCACCTTGGAACCAACTCTTAGGCTAAAGGAGCTCTGGTTGATTTTATTCATGAATGCCTCAAGTCCTAACGTTGAGACTGTGAACTCAGATGGATAAGGTCCAGCGGAGGTAAAACTCTGATTGTAGCACAACTAACTTTTGCGGGGGGGCATTGTGGGAAATCGTTTTCTCCATTTTCTGTAGCATGCTTACATTATTTTCACAATGAAGTACACATTCAAGACTAAGGAAGTCTAAGGAATTACGGTGAGTAGGTGAGAAGGCATTGGAGGCCATGGCTGTAGGGTGAAGTCCTCGGGCTGTGCCCAGCGTGGCTGTTGCCCTGATGTCTCCGAGGTGAGCGTGGCCTGAGCCCTTCAGTTCCGTCTGGGAGGCCCTTACTTGCCCGCCCCTGATTCAGGCCCACACCACTCTCTCTTCAGTCACCAGCTTCATAGGCACTGGCCTCTCCACGCTAATTGCCCATCCCCGGTCTTAGCTGGAGAGCTTAACTCTTAGGATCCCACAGGCAGCAAAGCCCACAGCTGGCTCCCTGAGCCCATCAGGATTGATGAGCCATGGGGCAGACCCAGAGTGGAAACCCTCGTGTTCCTGTGGCCAGAGGTTTCATAAAGAAAGATTAAGCTCCCTTTGGAGATAATCCCAGATCTGACTGACATACAGTGGCCAACTGTGGCCATCCTCACTCAGAGCAGGCCTTACTCAATGGAAAGCAAAAATGGCTGGGTGCACCTTGGCCTGCAGTTGGAATAAAATCATTTGCTTGGCTCTTTCGTCTTCTTTACATTTAATCTCTGGCCTTGATCACTGCCATAAGCTCACTACGAGGACAGTGACCAAGCACAGTGACAGCCTGCTTTTCTCCTCTGCAAGTGTCTGATCTTTCTGCTTTTCTGCCCTGTATCCTAAGAGAGGAAACTTCAGCCCTCGACAGCCACCACGTGTCCTCAGTGTGGTTGGATCTAGGTCACTAGTCTTGGTCTGCCCTCGATGACCAGTCAGAACCAGACCTGTCAGTGCCCAGCCCAGCCAGCCCGCTGAGGCTGATCTCGGCCAGCTTGCCAGCTCCTCTTGGAATCCTTTGCCACCTTCATCACAGGTGGTCCTGGTGCTGCTGTGCCTCTATACGGACGGACTCCCTGATTTCTAGAACCTCCTCTGGCCCCTGTATCCTCCACCTCACAGAGAAGTGCTTGCCCATCCGGGGACCCTGCCTTCTTGAGGAGAGAGAATTAACTAGACGGAATACCAGCTGGGATACTAGAATTCAGTATTTAGATCCGACCAAGATGCTTCCTGTTTTCCGCTTCTCCTTTCCTTTCCCCCATATTTTCCCCTTTGTATTCTTTCCCCACTCTGGCCCCTACCCCCACCAGCTCTTTGCCTCGACATCATCCTCCAACCTTCCAGGCTTTTACAAGTAATTGCATTGTTTCCTGCCTGAGTGATCAGAGCAGCCTCTAATTCCCTATGTCTCTTCACATAAAGCATTGGCCGATTTTATGCCAACAGGAAAGCGCTTTAAAACGTGACCTCAGCCAACCCCTCTTGCTTCAGCTCTTGCCATCCCCCGCATTCAACCTCCACAACCGCCACATCCAAGTGTCCCCAGACGTCCTCTGAAGTTTGACATCATGGTATCTTCACTTAGCCTAGAAATGTTTCTCCCTTTTGTAACCAGTGAGCTCTTAACCTACAAGTCTTTCCACCACCTCCTCACCCACAACCCTGGCAGAAGAAGCCCCTCTTTCATCTGTCTCCATAACATGTTGAAGACCAAATCGTGGGTATTTGAGGGGAAGGCTCCTCTGGACATTGGTGCTCTCTGTTGGAGGGGTGAGGGCTGGCTGCCTCTAGGGCAGCACTGTGGAAGAAGGATGAGAAGAAATATAGACCTCTCCTGGGCTGAACTAGGTCCATCTGCGAAATTCTTATTTTGAAGTCCTAACCCATAGCACCTCAGCATGTGACTGTATTTGGAGATAAGGCCTTTAAAAAGGCGATTAAGTTAAAACGAGGCCATTAGAGTGGGCCCTAATCGAATCTGACTGGTGAACTTATAAGAAGGGGAAATTTGGGCACACGGAGAGACTCCAGAGGTGCAGTGTGTGCAGAGGAAGCGCCATGTAAGGGCACAGGAAGAAGGAGGCATCTGCAAGCTGAGGAAAGAATCCTCAGAAGAAACTAAACTTGTTGACACCTTGATCTTTGAACTCTGGCCCCTAGAACCATGAGAAATAAATTCCTGTTGTTATGGCAGCCCCAACAAACTAATATAAGCACCCGCTGAGTTGCAGAAGAGGGCAACATGGGGACAAAATGGAAAGAGATTCCAATGGGGGTCTACAGGATGTTCTTGGCAGGAAGTAAATTGATAAGGAATATCCTGGGTGCTACATCAATGATTGCCAAATCCAGGCTTACTGCTGGAGGTCCAAATCCTATTTTCACCTGCCTACTGGACATTTGCACTTGGATATCGAATAGCTATCCCAAACTTGAGCTGTTTCTATTTCTCTCTCTACGCAAACCTGAACTTCCTTCTGCATTTTCTCTCTCCCCAAATAGCACTGTCTTCTGTCTACATATAAATGCGGAAATGTAGGAGTTATTCTAGACTCTTCCTCACTCTTATTCTTATGTTTAGTCAATTAATCAGTCACTAAGATCTGTTGATTTTATCACCTAAATATATATCAAAAATGCCTCTTCTCTCTTTTTATTGCTACCTCCTTACTTAGGGCTTTTTTTAAATTTACTTCTTTTTACTCATTTATTTAACAAAATTTGGGGGTGCCTATTATGTTCCAGTCACTGGACATGGCACTAGGGATACAATGATACAGTAGACACATTCTTGCCTACACAGAGAATCTACATCCTCTAGGAGGGGAGACAAGCACACAGATGTATAATTATAATGCATCATTCATTACCCCACAGGTATTGTCCACTGAGCCCACCCCCAAAAATGTCTTGCATGCAAGTTGGCCTCAGTGTCTGTCCCCTAGGGAACCTAACTATGATCATTTCCTAGCGCCATTACTCAGTCGTTGATAGCCGACACAGAATTTTCATCAATGCCTCAGGTCCACTAAGTCCTGTTTCTGTATCTTTGCAAGTGCAAATAGAGGGAGGGGTCCAGTTTGATGCTAGATTTGGCATTGCCTACAGAAGCCTCCATTCTGACCCCTTCTGGTCTATCATCCACACTGCAGCCAGGATGATGGAGCCAATTGGCAAATCTCATTACGTAATCCCCCTGCTTAGGAGCACTGACTGTCTGCCAATTTCTCCCCAATCAAGTCTAAATTTCCCAGGCTCAGGAAGGCTTTGCAAGTAAGTTACATCTAAATTAAGGTTCTAGCATGAGTAAAATGTCAGCAAAGGAATAGGTGAGGTACATTCCCAGTGGGGGGATAGGCACACAAACAGCTCTTTAGCTCTGACTAGCAAGGCTGTCTCTCAGAACTGACCATGCCTCTTTTGGACCCAATTTATGCTACTCTGCTTGTCTTTGCCATATG